AAACAATAGTAAAGAATAAAATTGTGAAGCATGTAGAAGAACATAATTTGTTGGACAAAAGTCAACATGGTGGAAGGAAGGTGAATGCCAGTGAGTTAATGATATTAGAGGTGGGGAAGGGGAAATGTCTGTGAGTTAATAGTATTAGAGGTGATAATTGGGGAAGCTATCTTTGTAATGTGTAAGATAGCTGGGGTCTTTGTTAAGTCCCGTGCGGAGAGTGATTTAGGTCAGTCATTGCCACACTTGGTTCTAATGTCACAGGGAAATAAAGTTGGGTGTCATCTGCATATTGATGGCACCGCCCTCCAAAACTCCTTATGACCTCTCCCAGCAGCTTCCTGTAGATATTAAACAGTATAGGGGACAAGATGGAACTTTGAGGGACCCCATAGCACAATCGCCACAGAGTCGAATAGTAGCCCCCTAGCTCCACCTTCTGAAAGCAACCTGATAGGTAGGACCAGAACCATTGCAAAACAGTGCCTCCAATACCCAACTCCGCCAGGCATCCCAGAAGGATATCAGGGTCAATGGTATCAAAAGCCGCTGAGACGTCTAGGAGAATCAACAGGGATGCACTCCCCTTGTCTATCTCCCGGCGTAAATCGTCTACCAGGGCGACCAAAGCTGTTTCAGTTCCAAAACCAGGCCTAAAACCAGACTGAAATGGATCTAAATAGTCTGTTTCTTCCAAGAAAGCTTGGAGTTGCAACAACACCACCACCCTCTCGAGTACCTTGCCCAAGAAGGGAATATTAGCAATTGGGCTATAGTTATTTAAGTCATGTGGGTCCAGGGAGGTCTTCTTGAATAATGGTGTTATCACTGCCTCTTTCAAGGCAGCAGGAACCATACCAGATCTAAAAGACGCATTAATAATCCCCTGAACCCAACCAGTTATCCCTTTCTGGCTAGATTTAATAAACCATGAAGGGCAGGGGTCAAGTGAGCACGTGGTCAGTTGCACTCCTCCAAGCACCAGTCCACATCCTCAATCTGCAATAGCTGAAACTGATCCAGAGAAAAAAGACTGGGTGGTGCACTCAACACATTCTGTGCCCCACTTACACAGCAACCAGAGTCTAAATCCAACCAGACGCGGGCGATCTTATTAGCAAAATGCTTTGCAAACAGATTGCAGCTGGGGGCCAAAGGCTCCACTATTTTGTCATGAGTGCCAGACTGCAACAGGCCCCGCACTACTCGAAACAATTCCGCTGGACGGCATTGTGCGGACGCAATACGGGTGGAGAAGTTGCTTTTCCTCGCTGTCAGCACTGCCACAGAGTAAGCTCGCAGTTCAGCTCTAACCCACAGCCGATCAGACTCTACTCTAGTTCTCCTCCAGCGGCATTCTATCCATTGCACAGACTGTTTTGCTGCCATCAGCTCCTTAGAAAACCAGGGAGCAAACTTGGCTCAACTGGTCCACAGAGGGCGCTTAGGAGCAATCATTTCAACTGCCCCGGCTACCTCAGTGTTCCAAGTATCAACTAGGGTATCTACAGGACTATTTGCCATAATGGCTGAACAATCCCTAGACCACAACCCTAGCCAGTGAGATAGTATCTCGATAGACAATTGTCACCCCACTTCCCCGATCATTAAGCCTTGGCTGATGCTATACCGAGAACCCAGCCAAGCACCATTGGGAAAGGTCGATGCCTCCCTCCACTCTCAGCCAGGTCTCAGTGATACAAGCCAGGTCAGCCCCTTCATTCAGAATTAAATCGTGGATGACAGCTGTCTTCTGGGATAGTGACCTGGGATTCAGCAACAGCACCTTCAGGGCTGATGGCCAGGTATTAGAGTTACCAACATTTTTAAGGCTGGGAATAGGACCGGGAAAAGGAATAGCACATAACTGTTTAAACCTCATTCCCCTTGGCTGGCCAGTCCGCATCTTACTTCCATACCTTCCCTTACCTGTCACAACTGCCCTCCTCCTTAGGCACCCCATCTGTGCCAAACCACATATTGGCAGAGGGGGGGTGGGTAGCAGAACAAACACACACCTTTGGTTTGGGTAGCTAAAGGGAACTTCCTCTCACCAAGAACTCTCGCCTGCCCTCCCTGCTTTCACCAGGGACTGAATAGGCCACCACACAACCAAGTGTGCTGCTCTCACCAGCACACACAAACACACATCGATTACAATCTACCATCACAGCACACACCCTTGCCCTTGGTCTCCCCCCGAAGGGCTTCCCCAAAAGGGCAGCCCCCTTTCGATCGCCCCTTCGGAGCAGCCCGCCACCAGGGGCAGCCTCTTGGCTTTAAGTCCGCCCCTAGTAATGGCTGCAGGCAACACCTGCAGCTGAAAGGTCTGAGTCCTAACAGGCAGGCCTCTCACTCAGGAGCTAGGTGGTAACAGCTGTGCAGCAAGAGCTCTGCTTTCTGAGGGGTCTCGCTCCTCCACTCCCCCCAAAAAATTGCAGTAAAACTTGTTGAGCAAAAAAAAAAAAAAGGCCTTTTAAGAACAGAGCAGGCATTGCCCTTTTAAGGTGGCCATTTTGAAGTCTGCCCCAGCCAGCCCGAATGGACTGACAGCCCAGGCTCTTTCTCGAGGGGAGGGAGCATTAACCGGGGGGAGGAGAGGGAGGTGGGATGAGATGGGTTGTCTCATGCCCCTCCTGAAATTTCTTCAGGCCCCCAATTTGGGAATCCATGCTCTAGTATATGACCCATGGAAGATAACATCTTATTTATGCTGCTAGAGACTGTAATTAATTCAGAAACTCAAGTTAAGTGCTGAAATGCAGAGGATTCAAGGATCCAAATTGCCCTGCTGATGATGGATGGACTGGGAAGGTCATTACAGATGCACATAAAATGTCTGGAGGGTTGTTGTATTTATTTTTACAAAAACCTGGGAAGTTATATACAAAAACATATTAAAAGATTGAAGTTTCAAAGTCAATCACTCTAAAGATAGGGAATACATGAACAAAGGTTGCTCATGAGGCTTTAATTTGTACCCCCCCCTTGTGCATATGCATGATGATGCAGTCGCTAATTATATGGTCATGTTATTTTTTCCCCACAGAACACATATCTCACTTAGTGTTTGGAGGAATCGTAACCAATGAATGACACATCTCAATAATAATTTTTCAAAGTGCGGCCCTATGTAGACCCATACACAGGGGGTGTGTGAATACACACCCCATGGTCCTCCAAGCAAGCATGACTCATGGCCCTCCCCTGTGCTCTGGAAAGTAATTATCATAAGACATGTGATTTCTTATTTATAAAATTGAAAAAGAAAACACTCTTTGTTGGTTTCTCTTTGCCTTCCAGACCTTTAAACAGAAGTCCAGTTAATTAAACCTATACTTCTGTGAAATTTCAAACACATCAAAGCAACACAATATACAACTTACGGATTTCTTCAACAACATCTGGATCACATTCTTGGTATGTGTCTATTTCTGCCTTTAGCTGCTCTTTTTTCTCCCGGAGAGCAGCAAGTTCCTTTATTAGGGCAGCACGTTCTGCCTGGATTCAAAGCATTTTGGGAGAAATCAAAAGTAAATAAAATTAAATAGACTGTGTCTATAATATTACTACACATTTATGCAAAATGCAAATTTTTACTCTTCAAAAATATTAGATACACTACTGGCAGCTGCATATCCTATTATTTTAAGGGAGGCAAACCAATCTTGCACTTTATGCACATTCAAAATCCCTATGTCAAAGTGGGTCTTCGGTGCATAATGAACGCAAGATCAAGGCAAAGCAAGAAGACAAATTAAACTTATTCTAAGTAACCAAACTGTTATTTGTTCCTAATTATACACATGGGTAAATAAGAATGTAAGGATATGAGATTACACTTCAGATCCTCACCATACTACCTATACACATTATAATTCATAATCAATAATTAGCAATTGTTTCTTGACAGTGTAACACTATATCTAGACTGCACTTCACTCTCAAAAGAGGAATGCAAATGAAGCAGATCAAAAATTCAAATGAAGCACGGATTTACAAATCTCACACTTCATTTGCAAAATTGCGTCGGAGTGCTTTTTTGAAAAAGGGTTTTTTGAAAAGAAAAACCCAGTCTAGACAGGGTTCTTTTAAAAAAAAAAAAAATCTTTTTTGAAAGAACCTGTACTCTTGAAAAAATGAAGTGTACGGGTTCTTTTGAAAAAGGTGGGGTTTTTTCCCTCAAAAGAACCCCATCTAGACTGCAGGGTTTTTTCCGGAAAAACCCTTTTTCAAAAAAGCGTTCGGATGCGATTATGCAAATGAAGCGCGAGATTTGTAAATCCGTGCTTCATTTGAATTTTCACTCTGCTTCATTTGCATTCCTCTTTCGAGAGAGGAATGCAGTCTAGACGAGCCCTAACTGACTACTTCTGCCGTACCCTTACTACTAAGCACACACTAGCATGTGTAATCTTAACTATTTAACAACTAAAAAAATATGCCACTGTATATATACCAGTGAAACAATCAATCTCCAGTTTAGATTAATTTGTGAGGAAGAAATATAAATGCAATACTCTGTTAACTGATCTTTAACTTTATTATGACAGCTAAGAATAGTGTACATGAGAAGGATAATTCTTGCTTAAAGTTAAAATAAAAATAATATTAGAAAAGCCTCACTCTTCCATTCTATGGATATTAAGAAATGTGTAATTCATTAATCATGTAGTTGACAAACATTTTGTCGACTACAAAATTAATCAATAAGGGTTAGCACTGCAAGCACTCAGTCCTGGTTTGTATCAGATCCAGCAACTACCCACGCTGGGGCTCTGCACTAAGAGTATTTCAGGAGCTGGACGGGCAGGCTTCTGCCAGGTTCCAGGAGCTGAACCATCTGCGACTCTGTATGCAAAGTAATTTAGAAGGCAGTAGACAGGCAGCCCAGCTCAGTCCTAGCTCGTGCTGGATCCCAGGAGTTACCCCTGCGGTGGCTCTGCAAGGAAAGTAAAGTCGGAGCCAGCAGGCAGGCAGCCCGGCTCAGTCCCAGCTCCCACTGAGCCAGGCTGCTGGTCAGCCCTCTAAAAAATGTATTGGCAGAGCCACAGGGACAGTGGGGAGATGCGTGTAGTCAGTGGCATTAACCCATATGCTTTCACTTATCAGTTAACAGTTCAACCAGCTACACTATTACATCCCTATTCCATTCTAAACATTTTAACATGTGGATATAGCATCTTGCTGAGAAACAGTTTCTCTTACTACAGTAATTGATTAATGTTATTAATATTATTCATTCAGTACTCTAAAGAGTAAATACTGTCTATAGCCTATTTTAAAGAGAAGTCACTTTATATAATTTTATGTCACTAAAAGGTACCATATTGTAGATCACTTCATGAGAGTGACAAAAAACTATTACAAATGTATTACAAATGGACACATATTGTAGGCTATAGAAGAATTGTATTACGTTATTTGGCAATAAGTATGTGATCCTGTAATTCAAGACTGTATCATAAGAAATTAATCCTTAACTTTTTTACATTTTCTGATACCTAGAAACTTGATTGCGCAATATTAATATTCTCTTAGCATAGTTCTTTTTAATAGGATTATTGTTTCCAACAGAAGCCTTACATTTGTTTCTCATCATTTAGGCACTGTAGAATCTCCAAAGTACAAAAACAAATTCAAAAATTTCAGATCTATAAGGTCCCTCCAAAGAATAATGTAACATCATCTAATTCAAATTTATTACTGATCAGTAAAAATCTACTTTTACCTGCTCCAATTTTCAGTTTAGGTAGGATATGGTATGAAATATTTCTACCTAAAACATGCCACTTCGTAAGCATGCTAAGTTTTATTTGGCAGTTCTCCTTCTACATTTTCAATATAGAAGGACCTTAACTGAATTGAGTCAAATATTTTAATGTTAATATCTTGATTTTATATGATACAAAATTTTAAACCTTCACAGATAGCTATGGTTATTTGGTCATTCAGCAGCCTTCGGGCATTTCAGCACTTAACTATGATTAATTTTGTTTATTGTGTTTTCAATTTGATCCAAGTTTACAAAGAGCAGCTCAAGCAATCACAAATTTCCTGCCCTTTGAAACACTCCACCTTATTCTCACAACAGATCAACGTCAGCCTCATCTCTCTTCCAATATTTAGCCATTCTATTAAGATTTTCAATTATTTGATATAAACATGTTAACATCTACAGACTGGACAGCCTCACAGCCAGATTCTTTAAATGAAAAATTACAAACAAAACTTACAGTATCTTGCCGTCCAATTTTTGATTTCTCAATGCTTTGCTGTAACCTCTCTTTCTTCTGGCTACTTTCAGCAAACTAAGTAAAGAAAAAATATGTTGATTGGATTCCATTCGCTATTTAAAGGTTTGATGGCACAATTTTACTTCCTCATTCCACTGTCAACAACAGCCCCAAACCCTGGATTTCATACCAAATCCAATAAACCAACTTTTGTATAATAAACTCCAGGACATATAAACATCATGTTGCAGTTATGTCTCTCAGTGCTGCACCCCTGCTCCATGGAAGCAATGACTACTGTGTGCATAATGCAACAGATCCCCCTGCTCTGTTTTTCAACTTTCACAAAGTCTGGTAACCCATGGGCACTGCCCCAACCACCTGGTTTATAGGAGCCCATGGTGTGCAAAGCTGTGGTACACTAAGTCCTGTTCTGCTCAATTGCACTGACGAGGCTAAAGCTGCAGCTGTCTGCCAGCATGTGTAGAAAGCTGCACAACTACTCACTTAGGGTATGCCTACACTAAGTACTTATGGTTACTTGCACTGTCAGTAATGAGGGAATAGGTAGACGTAATTCACCGAAATGTATGTGCCTTACTTGTTAGTGTATGTTCTATGTAAATTTATCACTGTTTACTGGAGGGGAGGGGGGATCTTCTACTCTTTCAGAGAGTGTTTACAGTTACTCGGTATAATGGTAAATCTTGTTCAGAAGAGGAAGCAATATTTGAAAGTGGATTCTATATAAGGGTATGTCTACACTTGCACCCTCTTTCGAGAGAGGAATGCAAATGAAGACATTCGAAATTGCAAATGAAGCTGGGATTTAAATATCCTGGACTTCATTTGCATATTCACACAATTTCGAAATAGCGCTATTTCGAAATAGCACCATAACATGAATATGCAAATGAGCACAGGATATTTAAATCCCGGCTTCATTTGCAATTTCGAATATCTTCATTTGCATCCCTCTCTCGAAAGAGGGTACAAGTGTAGACATACACAATCCACTTTCAAATACAGGCAGTCCCCGAGTTATGCGGATCCGACTTATGTCGGATCCACAGTTACAAACGGGGCTTTTCTTGCCCCGGAGGACGAGAGCGGTGGGACGCCCAGATGCGCCGGGGTCCTCCGGGGCGTCCTCCGGGGCGAGAAAAGCTGCTCCGCGCTGGGGGGGACCCCCCCAGCAGACCAGGGAGACGTGGAGCAAAGCCGCGGAGCACGTGGGCAGCGGGACAGCCCAGACGCGCCGCGGTTGTCCCGCTGCCGGCGTCCTCCGTGGCTTTGCTCCACGTCTCCCTGGTCTGCTGGGGGGGGCAAGATTTACCATTATACTGAGTAACTGTAAACACTCTCTGAAAGAGTAGAAGATCCCCCCCCCAATAAACAGTGATAAATTCACATAGAACTTACACTAACAAGTAAGGCACATACATTTTAGTGAATTAAGTCCACCTATTCCCTCATTACTGACAGTGCAAGTAACCACAAGCTCAGTGAAGACTCAGGAGACAATTATTTTCAGTGCTAATGGATCAATGTCCTAGTAATGAAAGCACATGATAAGGTGCTTGTTGGTGTCTGTTACAGTCCACCAAATCACACTAGGAAACAAGGTGATTGGCTCCTTGAGCAATTATCTATACTGTTTATGAAAAAAGGCTTCATGATTACCAGGGATGGTGGGGGGGAGAATTCAGTGCAAGTCACATATGATGGTGGTCTCATGCTGACAGTACTAAAAGACACTCAGGCTATGTCTAAACTGCAAGCCTCTTTCAAAAAAGAGCATCTAGACTACAACCAGTACTTTCGAAAAAACAAGCCGCTTTTTTGAAAGAGGGCACCCAAGCAGTCTGAATGCTCTCTTTCGAAAAAGCACAGTTTGCATTACATAGTGCCTTTTTTCAAAAGAGCACTTTTGAAAACGAGGTTTTCTGCAGTCAAAAAAACTGCCGCGTTCTTTCAATTTACTTTTGAAAGAATGTAGCAGCAGTCTAGATGCAGGGGAAGCTTTTTTTTTTTTTTTTTTTTTTCCCCCCCCCCCCCCCCCTCCCCCCCCCCCCGAGTTTCTAGATATTCTAAATAATTTATTCTAACTTAATTGTTGACTACAACATGAGAGAATTCTATAGGAGACCTCAGGTGGTATCTTAGATGCAAGTGATCTTATCTTGATCAAATTTGTTATGTTACGTGCAAACAGCACGCAGTCTAAATAAGTACTTTACATACTCTGAAGGAGAGCTCTATGTGGCTCAAAAGCTTGTCTCTCCAAGTTAGCCCATGTAAAATATTTACCTCACCCACTTTGTCTCTGATATCCTGGAATCGACACAACTACAACTGCACTGCACGCTCACACAGTCCACATACACCGCTACAGAGTTGCCAATTTCACGAAGTGAAAACAATGAAGAGCCAAATCAGGTGAGAGAATTTAATTAGAAAAATGTATATTATAATTTGGATACATCCCCTCCCTACTGGGTTGGGGGAGTCTCACTGCTCTGTCCTCAGCAGGGCGCTGCTGCAGTACCTGAGGGAGACTGTGTTTGAGTGGGCCTCACTAAATAGCTGTAAGGCAGTGCTACCGTCCAGAGGGAACCTTGGACAGGTCACTGATACAGAACAATCCTGATTGCCTGGTAAATTTAGTGCAAGCAAAGTCTCTTTGTTTTAATAAAGCCTAATATCTAGGAACAAAGGCGGCAATCCATACTTAAAGGATAGGAGACTCTATCCTGGGAAGCATGGATTCTGAAAAGGACCTACCGGCCAGCACTAATAATCAGTTGAACATTAACTCCCAATGCAACCACCAGTAGAAAAAGGGCTAATGCGATCCTTGGATGCACAAACAGGGAAGTAATGAATAGGAGGAGGGAAGTTATTTCATCTCTATATTTCGCACTGGTTTAACTACTGCATTAAAGTTATTTCTAGGACTCCACTGATATATACCTTGAGAGCAATGTCCATACATTCTCCCTGCACAAGAATAGCAGTTTTCACAGTTCACACCCATTGCTCTTCCCTATGGTGCAGTCAAAGATTGAAACCTTCCTAAAATCTGTGCATTATCTTAAAGTGACGATCTCTTATTTTTCAGAGCAACAGTGATTTTTTTTCTCGGATATCATCTTTCTTGATCCCAAATTCTCAACCTCTCTAACCACTAATATCCCTCCAACCATGTAACCTGCCTTGCTATCATATTAAAACAGCTGTAAATCTGTCATAAGTCATGCAAACATAGTCCCCAGTATGTACACTGGATAGGAATCAAACCAAAGGTCTCCATGCCAACCACCAAGAGAATTTTTTTCATATGACACACTGGTATCACTTTGATCTTTAAAAGAAATATGATCATAGTTGGTTTTCTTTCAGTCAAGAAACCTAACCAAGATGGTAAGATGAAATACCACCATAACAGGTGGGAATAGTACACATGATAGTTACCAAATTCCAACATCCCTTTCTCAGATGTTCATAATTTAGTTAAATTAATTCATTCTGGGCTGAAATTTCTCCATGCTCTGCCTCAGCTCCACGGTTACCACTGGTGTGCTTTTTAATTTGAACAAAAAGACTATTTTGTATTAAAATAACTGCACATGTATACAAATAATATACTCCTTCCTATATTACAGAAATCTTGCTCATCATGGAAGAGATTAGCTAAACTGGATCTCAGAGAAGGTACAGAGAAGAGGTAATTTTGCAGCATTTATTACACCATATATTGTTTTCATCAGAAATTATGGGCAAGAGTAACTCATCAGCTGAAGCTAGAAAGGAGTCCAACAAAATATAGATATACGGAAGCACAGAAGAATCCCGTTCAATTCATCTACGAAAACATTAAAGATAGACCCATTACCATATTTTCCGGCGTATAAGACGACTTTTGATGCTAAAAAACATCCCCCAAAAATCGGGGGTCATCTTATACGCCGGGTATATAGGCGGTGGGGCAGCCCGAGCCCCTCCGCGGCTTTGCAAAGCCTCGGGGGAAGCCGGTGGCGGGGCATCCCAGGCGCGCCTGGGATGCCCCGCCGCCGGCTTCCCCCGAGGCTTTGCAAAGCCGCGGAGGGGCTCCGGCGGTGGGGCAGCCCAGGCGCGCTGGGGCTGTCCCGCTGCCGGGGCGTCCTCAGAGGCTTTGCTCCCGGTGTCCCTGGTCTGCTGGAGACGGTCCCCAGCAGACCAGAGGCACCGGGAGCAAAGCCACAGCAGCGGCAGGGGCCCCCGCCTCTGAGGCTTTGCCAGAGCAAAGCCTCAGAAGCGCGGCACCCCGCCGCCGCTTTGGCTTTGCTCCCGGTGCCTCTGGTCTGCTGGGGACCGTCTCCAGCAGACCAGGGACACCGGGAGCAAAGCCGGGGAGGCGGAGGGGCGCTGGGGTATAAGACGAAAACCTATCTTTTAACTAAAATATTAGGGGGTCGTCTTATACGCCCAGTAGCCTTATACGCCGGAAGATACGGTAAGTAAAAATCATAATCCTTGCTCTAGAAGTGTATACAAACACTACAAAAATAGCACTCTCCAACTATAAACTAAAGCAATATGCCTACTTATAAAGCAAATCAGTCTGTAAGCCAAGTGATTGAACCAGCTGCACTTCCCAAAACCGGAATTCTCTGGTCCAGCTGCCGGACCATGGATGTGCCTTGATCAGAGAACCCTGGTAGCCTATTGGCAGGAGGGCAATCCAGGAGAAGCTGGGCTGAAGCAGAGGGACAGGGCTAGGACTGGTGGTTGCCCCCGGCAGCTTCCAACAACCTATGATACTGGGACCAAGTCAAGGTAGCCCTTAGCAATGCAGGATCGGGCCGGCGACAGCCCATGGCTGCACGGGGCTGAGGCCAGAGTCCTGGGCAGCCCACAGAGGCGGAGCCCGAACCTGTGGGCTGCTGTGGGGCAGGAGCCTGCGGTTCTTGGCAGCCCACAGCAGCAGGACTGGGACCGGGGCTGGCGGCAGCCCTAGCAACACACAGCATGGTAGGGCTGGAGCCTGGGACAGCCCATGGAAGCGGGGCCAGAGCCTGCAGGCTGCCATGGGT